GACCAGGGTGTGGGTCACCCAGCAGCATTTCCCTCACCTAGGAGCAACAAATGGGATATTCTGGGAAAACAAAGTGTTCAGCATCAAACATATCATAATTAGGATCATGCCAAGCCAATCCAGTATAGGAAGGAAGGCAGGAGACCTGAGTGAGCTGTAGGAGCAGAGTCAAGATTTGCCAGTTTGGATGTGGCTTTCCCTTTGCCTGGAGAAGCACTTCGCCTTTACCAATTTACAATGCTTTCCTATGGACGCTGGCGTCTTCTCACTGTGATTTTCACAGTGAGAAGCACGCAAGCGCCTCTAGCGGCTGTCAATGAGACAGCCACTAGAGGCTGGATTAACCCTATTATAAACATAGCAGTTACTCTGAAACTATGTTTATAAAAAAAGGGTTAACCCTAGCTGGACCAGGCACCCAGACCACTTCATTAAGCTGAAGTGGTCTGGGTGCCTATAGTGGTCCTTTAAGCAAAGACACTGTCCAGATACCCTTTACATGGGAACTAAAAACAATGGCATTCTAAATAGTAATCAAACTCTGATAGACTGCAATTGCAAAATAAAAAAAATAAAAAAACTTAATGAGGCCACAGAAGTTGGATTCCCAGGCTCTAAGCTCTACTATTTGTATATGGGACCAAGCTCTCTATTTCCTACTTATGTTTTTAAATATATATCTAGACTATAGTGCACCACTGTGTGATCAGGGAAATCAATATTCAAATGATGAGCTATCAATAAAATGTGTTCCTGAGTTCAGATAGATGTTGGAATTCATGAAGAGCCAGAATATTTGTAGATTCATGTCTGGTGATGGCCATACTTTATGCGAAAAATATTTAAAGGTAAACCGTCACTTCCCAGGATTTTTATTACTATGTTTACATATCCAAATATTTAACAAATATGCTTCTGTGAAGAGTGAAAAATATAACTAAGTGTAGAATTCCACATCTCTTCATCCTGCAAATGGGAGCCTCACTCATTTCTTGTGGTTAATTCTTGTTACAAGCTTTGTCTTTTGCACCTGGCAGTCAGCATAGAGAAAGTATACAGACAAGAGGAGGAATTAAACAGTGCTTCTATTTCTCCTCTTCATTTGCAGTGTTTGTCCAGGCTTTGCCTGGTTTAATCTGGGTTATGATGTAATTTGCTAAATTTTTAAAGGAACATGTTGCAGTGGTTATGGTTTATGCGAGATTGACAGACTTCAGCAAATCCAACTTTCTGCTTGATCCGGTTCAATCTGGATCCAATCATTGCAAAATCTTGTGAGCACTATTCTATCCTAATTCTCCTAGACCAGTGATGGCGAACCTATGGCACGCGTGCCACAGGTGGCACGCCAGGCCCTTTCTGTGGGCATGCGGCCATAGGTTCGCCATCAATGCAGAGCAGGCACCTGCCTGCCCAAAACGGCAGGCGCCTACTCTGCTTCCATGTCGGGAGGCAGGGGGAGGGATCTGTGAAGCAGTCCTCCCGCGAGCAAGCTGTGTGGAGCATTGCCACGCGTTACCATGGTAATGCTCCACACAGCATCACGCGGGAGGACAGGGAAGCTGCTTCACAGATCCCGCCCCCTGCCTCCCGACACGGAAGCAGTGCTTGCCACCACCGGACCACCAGGGATGGCTGTGTCCCCCCCTCCTTCATTAAAGGTAAGGGGGAGGGAGATACTGATTTAGCATACTTTTTTTTTTTTTATAAATATACCTTTACCCCAGCCCCCCCCCCACACACACACAGTACCCATCCCCTCCCCAGCATCCCTGCCCTCCCCCACACCTGGAGCTCCGTCACATACACAATGGACTGAATTAACTGAATTCAAAGGGAGACCATGATGGGTCTTGGAGAAACTCTCCCTCCCCTCCCCCACACCCTGCTTCCCCACCCTCCACACACAGCAGCCCTAACCCCCCACAGCAACCCACACACACACACAGCAACCCACACACACACACACACACACACACACACACACACACACAGCACACACACACAGCAACCCACACACACACAGCACAACCCACACACACACAGCAACACACACACACACACACACAGCAACCCACACACACACACAGCAACCCCACACACACACACAGCAACCCCACACACACACACAGCAACACACACACACACAGCAACCCACACACACACACACACAGCACACACACACACACACACACACACAGCAACCACACACACACACACAGCAACCCACACACACACACAGCACACCCACACACACACACAGCAACCCACACACACACACAGCAACACACACACACACACACACAGCAACCACACACACACACACACAGCACACACACACACAGCAACACACACACACAGCACAGCACACACACACACACACACACACACACACACACAGCACACACACACACACACACACACACACACAGCACACCACACACACACACACACACACACACACACAGCAACCCACACACACACACACACAGCAACCCACACACACACACACACACAGCAACCCACACACACACACACACAGCACACCCACACACACACACACACAGCACACACACACACACACACACACACAGCAACACCACACACACACACACACACAGCAACCACACACACACACACACACACAGCAACCCACACACACACACACACACACAGCACACCACACACACACACACACACACACACAGCAACCCACACACACACACACACAGCACCCACACACACACACACACACACACACACACACACAGCACACACACACACACACAGCAACCCACACACACACACACACACACAGCACACACACAGCACACACACACACACAGCAACCCACACACACACACACACACACAGCAACCCACACACACACACACACAGCAACCCACACACACACACAGCAACCCACACACACACACACACACAGCAACCCACACACACACACACAGCACACACACACACACAGCACACACACACACACACACACACACAGCAACACACACACACACACAGCAACACACACACACACACACAGCAACACACACACACACACACACACCCACACACACACACACACAGCAACACACACACACACACAGCAACCCACACACACACACACACAGCACACACACAGCAACACACACACACACAGCACACACACACAGCACACACACACACACACACACACACACACACACACAGCACACACACACACACACACACACACACACACAGCACACACACACACACACACACACACACACACACACACACACAGCAACCCACACACACACACACACACACAGCAACCCACACACACACACACAGCAACCCTTCTAACCAATCCTTCTCTGTTGGTGTTCCCCAAGGTTCTGTTCCTTGATCCCCAACTGTTCTCGATCAATACTGCCTTCCGTGGTAAATTCATAAGCTCCTTTGGCTTCCAATATCATTTCCATGTGGATGACACACAAATATATCAGTCCTTTCCTGATCTCTCTCTGCCACTCTTGACTCGTGTCTCTGACAGCCTTCCTGCTATTTCCAACTGGACGGCTGCTCACTTCCTAAAACCTGTCCACAACAGAACTTCTGGACTTTCCTCCCTCAAGTGTTGCTACTTCTGTGTCAGTCTCCTTCCAACCATCAGGTTTACCTTGCAGGCTCGCTGTCTAGGTGTTCTATGACTCCGAACCCTCCTTAACCCCTTATGTTCAGTCGATTGCCAAACCCTGCCGCATCCATTTCAAAAACATAGCGTGCCTATTTAACGTAAGACACAGCTAAGGTGCTGGTCCATGCAGTTGTCCTTTCTTGCATTGACTACTGCAAGCAGATTCTCAGTGGTCTTACATGTTCCCAACTTGCCCCATTAAAGTCTATAATAAATGCAACAAAGAGGCTCATCTTCCAGTCTGCCCACACCTCCCTCTGACATTCCCTACAGTGGATTCCCATATATTATATGGCTGAATTTAAGATTCTGGTTCTTGCTTGGAAGTCTCTACATAATGCTCTTCCAACCTACTTATCCTCCCAAATACTCAAGTATGTCTCGTCTCGGCCCCCACACTCTGCCGAAGACCTAGGTCTATCCTCCATACTCCCACCTCTGATGATGCTCTTCAAAACTTCTCTAAAGCTGCACCGTTCCTGTAGAACTCCCTTCCTTTTTCCGTTAAACTTTCACCCACTCTCTATTACCTAACAACAACAAAAATCATTGAATACTCACTTCTTCAGGAAAGCACATCAATTAAACTGTTAACAGCTTTCCCTCTCCTGCAACGGTCATTAAAAAATAATTTTCAAAAATGTAAAATTAAAATAATCACCCACTAAACCCTTGGTGAATACATTTCTAGCAACCTAGTAACCTTTTGTGCCATATACCCCACTCCCTCAAGCATGTAAGCTCATTAAGCAGGGACCTCAACCCCTCTAGTCCTGTGCGTTAAACTTGTCTTGTTACAAATACATTTCTGTTAGTCTTCCCGTTGTATAGCGTTGCAGAATTTGTTGGAACTTTATTAATAATGGTGTGTTGACACTCCTCCCATTGTAAGCTGTCAACCCATTCTTGAATGTCTTACCTTATGTTTGCCAGCTCTGCCCCTCTCCTCCGCTACTTCCTTTGGAGAGCCGTAATCTTCTAAGCAACAGCCTCCATTAGCTCTCCTGATCTAAGCCCTGCAGAAAGTTTAGAGTTTCTGTCTTTCCATAGGAAGTAGAGGAGGTGGGGAGAGAGATGTACTGGCAGACACCAGGTAAGAAGTCAAACCGTTCTAAAATGGTATAACACTTCTGGCACCATAATCATTGCAACACACTGTGGTGGTTACAGTTTTAGTTGATTTTCTGTTATTCAATGGTATACATTCGAGAGAAGTGACAGTTCCATTTACAGAAATATCTGTGTATTACGTGCCCAAACAACATTTCAAAACACTGTTTTTTCGGGGGCGGAGCTAGCGAGCTACCCAAGCAGACGCACGAGCACTGAGCTCCGGGAGAAAATCACCTACAAAGAACGAAATCGGCAGTTCCATAAAGCCCAATTGCTACCAACGCGGGTCGGAACATAATGGGACGCAAATCCAAGCAGCTCCACCATGAGGCGATGCCGTCCTCTCAAAATATTGGCGATTTACTCAAAGCAATGCCGCGGCCTGCCAAGATGGCGCCCGCGCGGGAAGCCCCTGATCACTCCTCAGATGACAGTATGGAGGAGGCCGCTGAAGCAAGGAGCACTAGATGGGAGAGTACCCCACCTCCTGAACAAATGCCGGCGAGCAAAGCAGACATCATCCATCTGCTCAAGGAGCTTAAAGCTCAATCAGCAGCAGACGTGGCCCTAATCAGGGAAGATTTGGGTGCCATGTCAGCCCGCATACAGGCTGTGGAGGTGAATGAAGCTGCCACAACAGCCAAAATTGAAACCCTGCAAAGGGAAATGGCCCAAATAAAGAAAACCAGCACTATATTAGAAAATAAAGTGGCTGCACTGGAAGACGCTAAGCGCCAGCGGAACCTCAGGATAAGGGGGATACCAGAGGCTGTGCAAGACTCTGAGGTCGCACACTACCTTCGCCGATTACTAGCCTCTCTGCTATCACAAGCTAAAGCAAAATCCATCTTGCTGGAGTTTCACTTTCGTATACCCAAGCCACCAAGAGCCCCAGCTGACGTCCCACGGGACCTACTTATTCGCTTTCAATCTCTCCGTGGCAAACTACTAGTACAAGAAGCAGCCCGAGAAACTAACACATATGAGTTTGAAGGTTCTGAGCTATCTTTCTATAATGACCTCTCTAGGGCAACAGTCACATGGCGACACTCCATGAAAGAAGTCACACAACTACTGAGATCCAAGGGGATACAATACAGATGGGGACCAGGGTGCAGACTCTCTGTCAACAATGACGGCAAAAGAGTTCACATCACCCAAGCAAGTGACTCTGTAGCATTTCTACAAACCTTGGGAATATCCCTGGAGGCCACTACAAGCACTACCTCAGCAGCAAAGACATCAGCGAACATGTCCAGGATATGGGACGTCAAGAGAATCCAACCCTTTATCCCAAGAACGAGTGGTGCTGCGGCCACCCTTCAGCCGAAAACCTGAATATCGCAAGCACATTATAACTCGGACTGAGTGTCACAGATGTAGGCCCCTTAGGCTATCATCCTCAGACACTACTCTATGTCCGCTCCCACTTTAACAATATTTCTCCAGCGGGCCCGCCGCCCAATAGACCACCCGAGAACCGCATTGCCATGTACCTCCCAGTTTGCTCATACCCCCCCAAAAGGAAGCTATCTCCAACAAGCAAATGTTAATTTTTCTTGCTAACTCCATGCAACCACAACTAGAAATCTAATGTATAACTATTTGTATATCATTGTACTTATGCTTTGCCTAGACTGTTATGTTTACCTGCTACCTGTGACACTGTATGCAAAGGTTGCATTTAAAATGTAGCAAAACTATGAGAGATGATAACTATACACATGCTATGCTACGCTACAATAAAAAATTATAAATTTAAAAAAAAATAAATAAAAAAAAAAAAAACACTGTTTTTTCTTAAAGGCAATCATCAAAAAGCCAGTTATTTGAATGATTACTGCAGTTGTCAGTCCTGGATATCTATTTTTTGCACCAGAATATTGAGCATTGATCTTTTGGCTGCCTCAGACTAGGGTCATCTTTCTCAGTCACCTTCAACTAAAACCACAATGCATTAAAACCACAACCTGCTTAAGATAGATAAAATAAATCAATTTGTACTTCCCAAACTCTTTAAAGATGCACTGTCCTTGAGTAGGAGCATAGGCCACAAATTGATGTTCTTCCAGTACTTCCAGGTACATTTAGTTTAGAATATCTATGTGCAATGCGAAGTGGGTCAGACTTTATATGCAGATCTCTTTCCATACTTCACAAGGTTGGCAGACAAGGGGACATACTAAAAGGAATGACAGATTGGAATGCCCATAGACTTTAACAAGGCAGTGGAATGCCCATAGAGAATAATGGAAGTGAAAGGAATGACCATAGAGAATAATGGAAACAAAATATTTCAATTAGAGACAAAACTATTACACATATGAAATCCATATTTTGCCACAATATTCTCCAGATTCAGTGTCAATTTTTGAAATTGAAATTAAGTGGGATTATCATTGTTTTCTATAGAATGACAATGGTGAATGACTAAAGAGAATGCCCATAGACTATAATGGGAGGCAACACATAAACTCATTTGCAGGTAAATCTGTGTTATGTAGCAAATTCATCTTTTCCACAGGTGTTCCTCAAGTACAGCAGTAGATTCTAAAACTAAAATTTACTGGGATTATAGCTCTTTTCTTTGGAATGACAGGTAAATGATGCAAAGGAATGCCCATAGAGTATAATGGCAAGTAATATGTGACTTGGAATCTGAACCGTGAAACATATCAAGTAAAGCTTTTGCAGGCATACTCTGCGAGTTCAGTGGCAATTTTTGAAATTGAGATTAAGTGGGATTATCATTGTTTTCTATAGAATGACAATGGTGAATGACTAAAGAGAATGCCCATAGACTATAATGGGAGGCAACACATAAACTAATTTGCAGGTAAATCTGTGTTATGTAGCAAATTCATCTTTTCCACAGGTGTTCCCCAAGTACAGCAGTAGATTCTAAAATTAAAAATTACTGGGATTATAGCTCTTTTCTATGGAATGACAGGTAAATGATACAATGGAATGCCCATAGGGTATAATGGGAAGCAATATGTGACTTGGAATCTGAACCATGAAACATATCAAGTAAATCTTTTGCAGGCATACTCTACGAGTTCAGTGGCAATTTTTGAAATTGAGATTAAGTGGGATTATCATTGTTTTCTATAGAATGACAATGGTGAATGACTAAAGAGAATGCCCATAGATTATAATGGGAGGCAACACATTAACTAATTTGCAGGTAAATCTGTGTTGTGTAGCAAATTCATCTTTACCACAGGTGTTCCCCAAGTACAGCAGTAGATTGTAAAAGTAAAATTATCTGGGATTATAGCTCTTTTCTATGGAATGACAGGTAAATGCAATGGAATGCCCATAGAGTATAATGGGAAGCAGTATGTGACTTGGTATCTGAACCGTAAAACATATCAAGTAAATCTTTTGCAGGCATACTCTACGAGTTCAGTGGCAATTTTTTGAAATTGAGATTAAGTGGGATTATCATTGTTTTCTATAGAATGACAATGGTGAATGAATTAAGAGAATGCCCATAGAGTATAATGGGAAGTAGAATATAAACTCATTTGCAGGGAAATCTGTGTTACATAGCAAATTAACCTTTGCCACAGGGGTTCCCCAAGTACAGCAGCAGATTGTAACATTAAAAGTAACTGGGATTATAGCTCTTTTCTATGGAATGACAGGTGAATGATACAATGGAATGCCCATCGAGTATAGTGTATATCAACTCTTTTGTAAGGAAATCTGAAAGACA